GTTTTTTTTTCGTCTCGAGTTTTTATTGAAATCGGATCATTTTTGCTCGAGTTATCGTGCTGACGGACACACACATTTATATATATATATATATATATATGAATTTGAACGGATGGTGTTTTTCGTCTCTAGGGACCTCAAAACGAAAAGTAAATAGGTCCCGGGTCCAGGTCTTTCCATGAGTACTACGGTAATAGCTTATTCCCTATAGGGGAAATTCGCTAAAAACCAAAATAAAGCTCATTTTCTACTTTTTGGGACTTAGTAATAATTGTTAATTTAATGAAATAGTGGAATCATAAGGTTTTTATTTTCTTTAGAATTTCTAATAAAGCTGGGGTTTCTGTTTTCTCTTGCGGAGGATCGCAAAAAAAACAAAATCCTGAACCGTTTAAGATATTTTGATAAATAAAAAATCTAAATAAAGCTAGTTTTTCCCTCTTGCCTCAACATCAAGTAATATGCAGTGAAAAGCTACAATAAGGGGGGTGGTGTAAACTTATCCTAGATCAAGGGGGAAGTGTACACCCCAAACATCATTCACGGAAAAAATTCTCAAAAACACAAAATTCATACATTTAACATAATAAAAATACCCCCGCCGCAGCAAACCTGCAGACTAAGCGAATTTCCATTTGACTGATTTGATTTTCAATCAAATCTATTCAAAAAATAACATTAGGTTTAACGAGCACCTAGGTTTGCTGCCTACAGGGTAATAAAGTGTGTTTTTTTAGTAAAATATTAACAGCTTAGTATAAAATAAATAGATTGGGCAAGTTTGATCCAAATATATGCATAAACAAGCAAACTACAAGAGTTTACTTATTCTCCATAAGAATAACATGGGAATTTTTAATTTACAATTTTCTCCGTAACCAATAACCATATAAAAACACTTCAATATACTGAACTATTTGTTTTTTTAAGCTCTTCAAAATGGTTTAGAGGAAATTTGGGAAATCTTATGTTTTAAGGGTCAAAAATGAGAAAAACCAATTTTTACCCCATAAATCCCCCCATAAAACCCCGTTCCCATGGTCCGATCATGCTGGTTAGCGAACTCGTTCAAATAAACGTAGGTTTACACGTTTGTACCAAATTTTTATTGAAATCGGATCATTTTTGCTCGAGTTATCGTGCTGACGGACACACACACACATATATATATATATATATATATATATATATATATATATATATATATGAATTTGAACGGATGGTGTTTTTGGCTTCTAGGGACATCAAAATGAAAAAGTAAATCGGTCCCGGGACTAAGTCTTACCATGAGACCTACGGTAATTGCTTATTCCCTATAGGGAAATTCCCTAATATTCCCTATAGGGAAATTCCCTAAAACCACATATACAAAATATTCCAAAGAATTTGACCCTAAATGAAATTATTATTTTGATTAAATTTTCTTTCCCTTGGTTGACTTTAGAAATTGAGGTAGGTCTAGTCCAAAATGGATGCTAAAGGAGTCTATAGTTTTAGTTTAACCCTAGCAGTGGCCAATGTTAGAAGTGGGGAATGGCCATTGGCCAACCCATTTTGGCGATTTTGCAAAGCTTTTTTTGAAAATTCGTAAAAATTCAACCGTACAAGTAAACCTAGCCAACCTTATATTCATTTTGTTTGGAAAGAACAGGAGAATCTATATTTCGGCCGCTTAGAAAGCAACCTCCTCCAGCATTGGTTTAGCATAAGCGCGCAGGTCGTTTTCTAAGCGGCCGAACTATAGAAATATTTTTTTCTACAGATTTTTTTTGGGAAATTCATTATATTTATTTTGTAGACAATCTTATTCCCTACACATAGAAATATATAACATGTTAGGAAAATATTTTTTTATAAGTTTTTAGGGCGAAATATAATAACAAACGGAGAACTGAAAAAATTGAAAACCGTACAGTTTTAGTTTGTGTTGTAAAAAGTTATATAATATATCTACTTACTAATAATGATATATACATGTTTGTAAAGCTAATAAAGTAAGGAATCCAAAAAAGTCATAAAGTTCATGGTAAAAATATTTTTTTATTTATAAATAAAATAATGTTTTGTATTTTAGCGATTATGTGAAAAAAACTCATAGTATTTAGTATAAAACTTTTGTACCAAATGTTTTTACTTCAAACCAACATAATCATCTTGTAGTGTATATTCAATTACCTACATAAAAATGTATAAACACGTTGGGTAACAATTTTTTATTCTACGTGTTAGGGGCATAATAATATAAATAAACGGAAAACCGCAAAGAAAAATACAACCTTTTATAAACATAATTTCACACTATTCAGTAAATATTCATGCATAATAAAATGCATAAATAACGAATTTAGTAATAAATCGTGGATAAAACGAGAGCGAAAACTCACCGGCAACAACACGCTATGGCGACGCATTGGCGAATACAAGGGACTTTGTGTATGAGACCTTGACAATAGTGACACAATTTCGTCGTCTTAGCGAGAGAAAACGGAAATAACCGTGAGTGCAGGGCTGCCACCATCACACGCTACATTTCTTCCTTTTCAAAATGACATATTATATGACAAATAATAATAACTTACACTGTATGTAATTCGTATTTCCCGTACTAGCGTATTACGCTGGTTGGCCATTTGTTATAAATTTTGAAAACAGCTGTTTTCATAAAATCTTACCTGTTGAGCAATTAATATTTCGTTCTGAATATCAATACCACAATGAAGATCAAATCAATGGCTATCCTGTGGTACCACCCGCAAAATCCCAAGACGAAAATTACCCGAGCAGGATAATACCAAACAAGTCGTATTTTGACAGTTCCCAAGTGTCAGCTGAAAAAGTCGTGCCGCGCCAAAAATTCATTTGATTTCTAATCGTCGTGACATTGTTATACAGGGTGGTAATAAAGTCCGAAGACAGTTAAATATTTTCTAAACGACAACAGATAAATCAATAAGATTTTGTACATCAACACCACACCTAAAAATCTACTTTTTTAATGAAATATCAATTTTCTGTCATATCATGGGGACATCCCGCAAGGAGTCAGAAGAAAATCTTAAATAGAAGCATAGGTTGACATGTACATCAAATTAAAGGTCTTCACTAGCAGAATATAATGCCGCAAATTTGAACTCAGACGAACAACCGAGCCAAGAATGACAGTTGTTCAAAGATTCATTTAATTTGCATTGCTATTATACACTTGCTCCTCAGGGGGCACAGCCCTAGGAATCGGAATAGGTCGATATGCACATCAAATTAAAGGTCTTACATGTATGGTGTGTAAATTCTGTAGGTATGCGAATCGGACGTAAACTATTTCCCGTTTCGAAATTCTTAATATAAATTCGAAATTTCTATTATAAATCATAGTTTATTTACTTGATATGTTGTTACTAGAGGCTGAAGATGAGTTTTGATGTAAACTTGAAATATACCTCGACATTTTTTAGTAAATTGTGATTAATTAATTTTAGTGATGAGTAACCGACAACTTAAGAATAACATAAAAATGGCAGTCGTTCAAAGATTCAAAATGGCAGATTCAAGAAACCTTTGAACGGCTGCCATTTTGCGCAGGATCAACCTTTTGAAGTGCGGTTTGCGGCATTGTATTCTACTAAAAAATACCTTTCATTTGATGTGCATATTGACCTATGCTTCTATTTAAGATTTTCTTCCGATTCCTCGTGGGTCGTCCCCCTGAAGAGTTATTGGATCACTGATTATGTGATAAGATAAAGTTTTATGCTCTGTAACTTTGTACCAAGTATTGTAGCTCTATCTACATTATTTTTTAAAATATTTAACTGTCTTCGGACTTTATTACCACCCTGTATAACTGCTACAGGGTTTGTTTATATAATAAAATTAAAGTTCAGACTGTGTTCTTTTGAATGGTATATATAATTGTTCATATCAGAGTTTTTTATAAACGGTTTTTTCACCATTAAAAAGATTTCGGCCCATACTAGTGTATTACGCTGGTGGCCATTCTAGGCGTCACGGCGAACGAGCGTATTACGCTCGTTGGCCACTGCTAGGGTTAATAATGAAATGGAAAGTTGTCACCAATCTTCTATAAGTAATTTGTCTTCAGCATTAGGCTATATAATTCTTCTTTCTTCAATGTGGTGTTCAATATTATATAAGTAATAATCTATTTTTAATTTAAATTTCACAATTTAGTTTAGCACAACTGTAATGATTATTAGTTGATCTGTTCTTCTTGGAAACGTTTGCTAAACTGTTCATTGTTGTGAATCATTTCTTCATTTTTTCATGGGGTTCACATACTTAAAACATGTGTTGAATTTTATTTATAATCTTAAAGAACCTAGAAGCATTGTATTTTAATTGTAGAAATTGTTTTGGAATAATAATTGTGATAAGCAAATGAATAAATATTGATTATAAATTAATTATATATATATGTTGAGAAATATTTTGTAATTAATATTAACACAGGTTTTAGGAATCTTGGCAAATACATTTTTACATTATTTTCATAAGATGAACATAAATATATTAAAATATAAACAAGATTCAGTTTGAAAATTGAATTAATTACTATATTTACAAACAGTGGTTTTTGAGTCATTACATTCTCCTTGCTTTCACGTGTGCTACTACATCATAATCACTATGCACCCCGAACACCCCTTCTGCTGTTGAACATCCCGAAAGCCCTCCTCCCCTTGACAAGGTCCAAGAACCGCCACTGACAACAAATATTATGTTGTTGGTTGATGTTTAATTTACATTAATGATTTAGTGAACAATAGAAATGTATCATCAGTATAAGGTAGTGAAATATTTGCATCACTTTTCTTTAACTTATGTTGTAGGATTCTTCTCTACCAAGTTGAGGTTTAGGTCTAATTGCACCGTACTAGAAGTCTAATCATGCAAATGGGAATTCGATTAGTCAGCAGGTTTGCTGTGACGGGGGTATTATTCCGTCTGCTTTGACAATGCTTAGTCAGATTTTTTGTCATTAGGCACGCCTGTTAGAGAGTGAAGAAGAGCCATTACAGAGAAAAGTTAATGAGTTGACAAATAAAATAGAAAGCTTGCAAAAGGAGCTAAGCAATGAAAGAAAAGATAGAAATGATGAGAAGAAATTAGTTGCAAGACATTTGGCAGAGAAGACAGCCAAGGTTGAGGCTCTGACTAAGGAAGTAGATGATCTTAAAGGGGAGAACCAAGTGATAAAGCACAAACATTCAGTAGCTCTCAGAGTGAGTAGTATCAGCTTTACAAATTATAATGTATCTAACTAAAAATGTGTTGATTCTCGATATCACTTGTACTTGGACGTTGTTATCGGTATCAAGAATCGATTGTCAAAAGTCGATTTCAATACCAATACCCGTCGGTAGATATCGATTGGTATCGAGAATCGATTAATTTATTGTATTGACACATCACTATATCCAATTAGAATAAATGATGTTACTTTTCATTTTTGAACGATTAAGTTTGCATTAGTCTATTGACAAGTAATAGTGATATGTGCACAGTCATTTAGGTACGTAGAATGTCTTTTAAATTTTACATGTTAACAATCAAAATTTCCTTAGTACTTGCTCTTAATTTTTTTTATTAAATTTATGATCGAGTTATATAACAAATAATGGTTAAACATAACCATAAATAAATTGTTAAACATTAACACAATCCTGAGGCTATGAAAATTAATTTTAATTTAGTTTAGTTCCTGGCATACTATCTTCAGCTGCCTATATAACGATATTATTTTTACTTTCTCCCCCCATATGGAGAAAGTACCTATTGTTTTTGTCATAGTGTTTGAGTTTTGAGTCTTCCTTAACCCCAAAAAGTGGGTTTCGAAGTGATGACTGTGTGTGTAGAGTTACAGACTACACCTGTGGTCCAAATTTGATTAAATTTAGTATGAGGGTACTAACCAATGGTACCTTCAGGCATTTTTTTGAAATTATTAGAAATTTTCCATAAAAGCCTTATTTTTTCAAAAACAGCTCAAAAGATTTTGATTTACAGTTTGTATGTTATTTTATTACTCTTAACTAAATAGTACATGCTGTAAAAATTACAGTTAAAAATGTATAGACATTTTTGTGATTTTACCCTTACTCCCAATGCTTACCCATTATAAGAGATGTCAACAAGCTAATTGGAAAATATATGTCTCGATTTGCTGATACCGATAATTAAATTACTGTTTTTTCCAATAGGAGTTACATCGTGAGGTTGCACAGTGTCGCAGGAGGCTAGAGCAGTATGAGGTTAGTAGTGGAAGTGATTCTATGTGTCTGGGGTCTAGAGCCAGCTCTTGTAATTCTCTCAATGATGCTGCCTCTACAATAAGTAATGTGACTCTCAATGAAAATATTCAGGTAATGTAAAACCACTTCTCATTTTATTAACAAATTTCAATTATTTTGTTTGTGACAATTGTTAAGTTCTTAAATACAAATACACAGTCCCACAAATTTGGCATTCGATTAACCTGTTATCTAAATGTTTTTGGAAACCAAGTTTTTGGCACTGTACTGTAACCATAAACAATTTATCGAGGACCAAACTTAACATTATAATAGAATCTAGACGTCTAACATCTAACATTATTTTTTTAGGCTCTGTGTTTTTCTGAGAAGCATATATTTGTGTGACTTATTGACTTTATGTATTAAATGCAGCCAGAACCCAACAAACAGACTATGATTGAACGTATTCTGAGACTACAGAGGGACAACGTCAGACTGCGGGAGAAGGTAGATTTCCTGGAGGAGCACAGCAAACAGCTGGTTAGTGAGATGCAGAAGAAGACAAGGGTGCTTCAGGGCTACATTTTGCGAGAGGAGGCCGGGGCATTGTCATCACGAGCCATGGACCTCAACAAGGTAATAGGCCAACTGTACAGATTTGAAATGGTTTGAGCTCAATCTAGTCAGACGAAAGTAGGTCAAGTCTTTCTGAACCAAATAGAAATTTGTTTAATGAAACTCGTGTTTTACCTCTTTATTAGGAACTATGTAGCTGTTTCCAGTTAATAATATTAGCTATATTTCAATATAATTTAATAATATAAATAAACTTTTAACTTGTCACTACAAAAAAAGGAAAATTTAAGAGTATGTTAAATTAACAAATGAAAAATGTTCTGCCCAATACTGTTTTAATAAAGGTTTTAACAGAGTACAGAATACTGACTGACGGACCAGTTAATACTTTCATCTTACTTTTGACTAGTTAAAGGAGAAACTCTTCCCATACTATGTTTTTGTTAACACTCTAACATAAGCCAGATGACATTGGTTTTGTTGTTCATTAACCCTTATTTTTAGTTTATCAAAAGCGTGGCATCTTGACATTGCTACGTACAATGCCCCATGGTGAAAGCATGGCGCTGGCAGATAAAGACCAACTTTTTTTGTAATTATTTAGTATGTCTACATTGGGATAGGATGTAATTTTAGATGTCTACTTACAGTTTTTTCCACGCTGAATCCAATTAAGTTATACTATTAAATCACTGGAGACTTGGCTCCCACATCCTTTCTTCACCAAGGTTTTACCAAAAAGCACATTTCTTTTCATTTGTTGCTGGTTTACTTCAACAATGCAACACTAACACCTGGTAATTACTATACAAGGAATATTTATGACCTAGGCACTTCTATATTTAATGTTTAGTATATTATTGTTAAATACAGTTATCTTATTAGCCCTTAATTTTATTACTAATTACATTTATATATAATTTATCATATAATTATTTGCCATGATTATTTCTTGAATAAATATTGGTGATTCTTAAAGATAATTTAGTTACAATTATCAACATGTCATTTTCATACAGGTTAATAGGCCTACATATGAGGTTAATTATATTTACATATAGTCATGTTTTATCTCAACTTATTCCAGTGCATGGTGCAGTATTTTTTTGCAGCTGAGAGCTTAGTTTGGCTGACCAAAATTTTGCTACGCCTAGAATTTACGGGTTAGTTATTACATATTTTATTATTTAAGAACAAGGAACAGTTCTATTTCATCCACTCAACGTCATTAATATTTGTTTCAAGGCTGCTAATTTAGGATGGGCCAAGTTAAAAACTAGGGTGAGTATTGTATTAAAATTCATTGTGTAGCCCCAGAACTGTTAAATTAGACTATTATTTAAGTACATACAGTTCAGCTGAAGATGATTTCAAGGTATGTATACGTACGGTAACACTTGAGAAGTTGAGTGTGTCAGCACATTTCTTTCTTGTTATTTTTCACAATTAAAAAATATTACAACAAAATTTAATAATAAACTTGTAAAGTTCTGCTAGTCCTCAGATTGGATACTAAAATAAAATAGTAAAGCTTACATTGTAAAGTATACTATAAAAATAGTACCATTCGGAAGATATAAGTAATGCCAAACAAAAACGGACATAAAGCACACATACCATGAAATAAAAATTACCCCTTTAGCTTTCCCTGTTTTGCCTTAGTCACAGTAAGATCTTCAATATTGCTTTCAATCTGCTGACACCTTAGACATCACCTAGACAGGATTCTATGAACGTTGCTGCATAATACTCAATGGATTGCGCTCAGATTGAAAAACAAGACGTCACTATACCTCGCTCTGTCCACCAGGAGTGGCAATGACAAAAGCCTCTGTACAAAGGCATGACTCACCCTAGTGCCAAGCGTCAATCTCGCTTGCGTTTTGCTATGTTTGTTTTGTCTGAATATTAAGAAGAAAATTGACTGTAAGGAAGCTTTACAAACAAATTTAATCAATTGATCAATCGATGTTGACAGACTGATGTAGCCAAACACAGAGGTAACATGGTGTCAGTGTATGGATCCATCTATGCTAGTAGGCCCTATGACCAAAACATTTCCCTACATGTATTATATACACCTGTGTTCTAAGCTTGTCCCATGTTGACAGACTAATGTAGCCAAACACAGAGGTAACATGGTGTCAGTGTATGGATCCATCTATGCTAGTAGGCCCTATGACCAAAACATTTCCCTACATGTATTATATACACCTGTGTTCTAAGCTTGTCCCATGTTGACAGACTAATGTAGCCAAACACAGAGGTAACATGGTGTCAGTGTATGGATCCATCTATGCTAGTAGGCCCTATGACCAAAACATTTCCCTACATGTATTATATACACCTGTGTTCTAAGCTTGTCCCATGTTGACAGACTAAGGTAGCCAAACACAGAGGTAACATGGCGTCAGTGTATGGATCCCATGGCCCCCACAAGGGTGGGGCTGGTGCAACTCTGGTCACAGGGCCCGGGCCCTCAGGGGGCCCGGGCCTACCCATTTTTTTCCCCCATTGAAGATCTAAAAAATTCTTTACTTTTGGAGTTTTAAAAATATGAAAGATTGTAGGCCTAATAATTTTGACCTAAGTTTTCTTCCCAATTCGCTCGGTATAATACTGTACTAAAGCATGGATTGGATAGCATCGGCATCGACAGCATCGGTCATTCTCGGCATTACTCGTGCACATTCGTTTTTCTCTGTGACTACTCGCGCAAGTTCGGCAGCTCAGGCATCCACTCCCAAAAAATGTAGTATTGTTAAAATTCTTGATGAAAATTGTCACTGAATAAAATATGATTTCATTGGTGTAAGCTGTTAAACTCGATTTACGTAAGTTTTTTTCCTACTCCATATTACAAAGTACAATTATAGCAGTTAAGATAGCCAAACCCTTTTACAGGGAAATAAAAAGGACAAAATATTAATAGGCATGGAGCTTTTGTGTATTGATATAATAGTTTTAATTGCTGAATTCCTGTAATTTTAAGTCTTGTAAAACTCATTGAAGAACTCTTTTCTTCCCTAAAAAAGGCTGCAAAAGTGCCATTTACCACTCACAAATTTAATACCTAGATTGCCTTAAAAACTCACTAAAATACATGACATTTTCAAAATTTTCCCGGGGGAGAACCCTCGGACCCCCCCTCTACGCTGGGGGGTATTTCATACCCCCTCGACCCCCCGGTTGGTAGGGGGGCCCGAGCCAGATCCTGGTAACAGGGCCCACAATTAAATGTGGGGGCCATGATGGATCCATCTATGCTAGTAGGCCCTATGACCAAAACATTAGCCTACCCTACATGTATACACACCTGTGTTCTAAGCTTGTCCCATGTTGACAGACTGATGTAGCCAAACACAGAGGTAACATGGTGTCAGTGTATGGATCCATCTATGCTAGTAGGCCCTATGACCAAAACATTTCCCTACATGTATTATATACACCTGTGCTCTAAGCTTGTCCCATGTTGACAGACTGAGGTAGCCAAACACAGAGGTATGGTGTCAGTGTATGGATCCATCTATGCTAGTAGGCCCTATGACCAAAACATTTCCCTACATGTATTATATACACCTGTGTTCTAAGCTTGTCCCATGTTGACAGACTAATGTAGCCAAACACAGAGGTAACATGGTGTCAGTGTATGGATCCATCTATGCTAGTAGGCCCTATGACCAAAACATTTCCCTACATGTATTATATACACCTGTGTTCTAAGCTTGTCCCATGTTGACAGACTAATGTAGCCAAACACAGAGGTAACATGGTGTCAGTGTATGGATCCATCTATGCTAGTAGGCCCTATGACCAAAACATTTCCCTACATGTATTATATACACCTGTGTTCTAAGCTTGTCCCATGTTGACAGACTAATGTAGCCAAACACAGAGGTAACGTGGTGTCAGTGTATGGATCCATCTATGCTAGTAGGCCCTATGACCAAAACATTTCCCTACATGTATTATATACACCTGTGTTCTAAGCTTGTCCCATGTTGACAGACTAATGTAGCCAAACACAGAGGTAACGTGGTGTCAGTGTATGGATCCATCTACACTAGTTGGCCCTATGGTCAAAACATTAGCCTACCCTACATATACACACCTGTGCTCTAAGCTTGTCCCATGTTGACAGACTGAGGTAGCCAAACACAGAGGTAACATGGTGTCAGTGTATGGATCCATCTACACTAGTTGGCCCTATGGTCAAAACATTAGCCTACCCTACATATACACACCTGTGCTCTAAGCTTGTCCCATGTTGACAGACTAATGTAGCCAAACACAGAGGTATCATGGCGTCAGTGTGTAGATCCATCTACACTAGTTGGCCCTATGGTCAAAACATTAGCCTACCCTACATATACACACCTGTGCTCTAAGCTTGTCCCATGTTGACAGACTGAGGTAGCCAAACACAGAGGTAACATGGTGTCAGTGTATGGATCTATCTATGCTAGTAGGCCCTATGACCAAAACATTTCCCTACATGTATACACACCTGTGTACTAAGCTTGTCCCATGTTGACAGACTAAGGTAGCCAAACACGGAGGTATCATGGCGTCAGTGTGTAGATCCATCTACACTAGTTGGCCCTATGGTCAAAACATTAGCCTACCCTACATATACACACCTGTGCTCTAAGCTTGTCCCATGTTGACAGACTGAGGTAGCCAAACACGGAGGTATCATGGCGTCAGTGTATGGATCCAAGGCTGTTGACGACTCTATGACTCTTGACCTCAGTTTGGAGATCAACCGCAAGCTCCAAGCCGTACTTGAGGATACTCTACTGAAAAATATCACTCTAAAGGTACTCAAATCCAGCTTAGTTTAGATTTGTTATTAATTTTATTTGTTTTATTTTAACTTTTCTATATTCTTAGCAAATGTAAAGTCAAAACAATCGGTACCCAATCATTAATGTTTTGAGTATTACTATTAGGAAGGGCAAAGACGTTCTTATTTTTAGTATCTATATAATTAATACGCTACATGAAACTTTGTCGCTTAAACTCCTCCGCCATTTCTTAACCGATTTTATCCATTGACGTCTCATTGGAAAGAGCATGACGTGTAGATTTGAAAACTGGCCTTACATTTTTGAAAAAGTCCCTTGGGCTCTGCCCCAGTGGCTTTGAAAGTTCCCATGTTATCCTTATGAAGAACATAATTGTTTACATTTTGATCAGCTGTATAATTTAATTGCTGTTATTTATTTTTCAATTCAACGAAACGCATTTGGTACATTTAATGATTTTGTTGAAATTAAATATTTACTACTTTAATTTACATTTGTACATATTACAATGTAAAAAACGAGAAAGCCTGAGCAATTTGATATATTTTACCAAATAAGAAAAATGAATTGACATGGTACTGTATTTCTTGAGCAATCATTGCAAGTGTTGAAATTAAAGAAAATAACTATTGTTGATACAGGAAAGAATAATTGTATTTAGACATTTTGCTATGTTCACATCTTACAAACTCATATTATTTCTTTATATGACAAAGCTGCATTAATAATAATAGCACAGCTGTAAAAAAAAAAAAACATAGAGGAAAATTATTGAAATGATAATCACATATCTTAACACTTTCCCTCATTTAAAGAATTTTTAAGTTACTAGTTAAGTCCCATAGCTTGCCACAAAGTCTTCAGTCTTGGCTTGTGAAGAGGTTTGGTCATACAGTCTGCCAGTTGGAACTCAGCTGGTACATGGTTAACCTTGACTTGTCCTTCCGCTACAAGCTCCCTGATGAAGAAATGTCTGATTTTGATATGCTTAGTTCTTCTGTGGTTTTCAGGGTTTTCAGCTAACCGTGTTGTTGCTACGTTGTCGATGTTGAGAACTGGCACACTCTTCAGTGTAGTGACCTCTTCCAAAAGTCGTTTCAGCCAAACGATTTCACGACAGGCTTCACTCGCTGCAGCAATTTCAGCTTCAGTGCTTGAGATTGCCACGCTCGATTGTTTCTGACTTAGCCAGGCGATTACTCCTCCTCCAAATTACGACTCCTGTTGTAGAACGTCCGGTCGATGAGTCTCCAGCATGGTCAGCATCGCTGAAGCACTCCAAAACATGGTTGTTTTCTTTGGACTGGTATTCTATTCCGTAGTCGATCGTTCCTTTCAGGTATCGCAGTATCCTCTTCACCCTTATGAAGTCTTCGTGAGACGGGTTTTCAAGAGTACGCGATGCTTTACTCACAGCATAGGCTATGTCTGGCCTAGTTGCTGTCATCAGGTACATCAGAGCACCTACAGCTTCTCTGTATGAAAACTTGTCTCTTGAGCTCTCTGCTTTCCCTGCTGGTTGCGTTTCGTTCTCTTTCACGATGGGTGTTGGAGCTGGTTTACAGTCACTCATCTGAAAGCACTCAAGAATTTTCTTTGTATACGCTTTCTGCGATATTCTAACATTTCCGTCACTTTTCTGTTCTATTTCTAGGCCTAAATAGAAAGATGCTGGTTTGGATGTGATTTTGAACTCCTTCGTCAGATGATCCATGAAGTTCTGAAGCATTCCCGTGTTGTTTGTCGCTATAAGCCCGTCATCTACGTACAGCGCTACAATCAGTTTACTTTTTCCATTTTCTTTTATGAACCGACACGGATCAGCATCACTTTTCTTGAATCCTTGAAGTTCCATGAATTTGTTGAATCTGGTACTCCAACAGCGAGGTGACTGTTTCAAACCGTAGAGACTCTTGTTCAGCCTGCACACACAATCTGTACCATCCTTGTATCCTTCAGGCTGTGTCATGTAAATAACTTCATCGACTTGGTTAATAGGTTAATAGGTTAATAGGTACCGCACATCGAATTGTGTTAAACTCAAATGTTCCACTGCTGCTACACTCAGTAGGGATCTGATTGTGCTGAGTCTTGCTACTGGGCTGAAAGTCTGGTTGAAGTCCACTCCTTTCTTCTGCGAGAAACCTCTAACCACCAACCTTGCTTTAAACCTGTCAACTGAACCGTCAGGATTAGTTTTTACTTTGTATAACCACTTGCATGTTATACATTTCTTTCCTGCAGGCAGTTTCTCCAGGGTCCAAGTTTGGTTTTCCTTGTGCGACTTCATTTCACTTTCCATAACTTCTTTCCAGTAGGAAGCTTTTTCACTTCGCATTGCCTCCGTGTATGACTCAGGCTCATTCAGTTCTTGAACATTAGTAACTGCAGTCATGATGTAGTCGTCGAACCTCTTCAGAACATTGATTTCTGATCTGTTTCGTAGATCATAACTGTTCAATTTCTCAGGTAGGTCAGCTTCCACATCGTCTTCATTTTCTTCCGGTTCTTGATAAACGTTATCTTCAACGTCGTATTCTAAGCCTCGGCAGTCGCGTTTTCCTAACTTTTTTCACTTGACAAAGGGATTTGATATTCTTTTGTCTGAAATAAGGGCTCTTCGTTGAAAATAACATCTCTCGATCTCACCAGTGTGTTAGTTTCTTTGACCCAGATACGATAGCCACATTCATCGTACCCAACGAGTATTCCTTTCTGTGCTTTCGTCTGCATCTTTTTCCTCTTTTGTTTTGGTACATGCGGATAACATACACTTCCGATTATCCTTTGATGCTTGATACTAGGTCTTTTTCCAAGCCATAGTTCGTACGGAGATTTTTCAGCTTCTGAAGAAGGGCCGGTGCGGTTGAGGATGTAAGCAGCACAGTTGATCAGTTCTGCCCATAAGCCTTGTGGAAGGGACTCATGGCAGTGCATCATAGCACGAGCTGTTTCCACGATTGTTCGATTTTCCCTCTCACTGCAACCGTTCTGCTCCGGGTGTGTAGGGCATCGTCAGAGTGTGCTTGATTCTTCTGTTCTTCAACATGCTCTTAACTACGCCGTTATCAAACTCTCCGCCATTGTCACTCACCATTTCTTTAACTACATGTCCAGTAGTTTTAGCTGCTGCCAGAAATAGTTTCAGTTTTTCAGAAACTTCCGATTTTTCCTTCATGAAGTGAACATGTCAATACCTGGAATAGTCATCTTTAAACAAAACATAGTACTTGTAGCCTGACATTGAAGACTGAAAAGGTCCGCACACATCCGTATGAATTCGTTCCCCAGGTCTTGTGGCTCGTTCTCGTTCTCTAGTGCCAAATTTCAACCTGTGACTCTTTCCATAGACGCAGCCTTCACATAACTCTTTATCCCCAGTTAGTTTTATTCCCAGCTCTCTCTCAATGGTCGCTTTCACATGTTTCGTGTTTTGATGCCCCATTCGCTCATGATACAACTGTAGAAGATTGTCATTATTGGTTAGTAAGTTTACTTCGATAGGCTCGCTTAGTTTTACATTTTGAACCTTCAGCTTATACAGACCTCCTTTTCTGCATCGGTAACCCACCAAGACAACTTCTCCATTCACCTCAAGTTGACCTGTTTCTGTGGTTGACGTGAACTGACTTTGTAAATTCAAGTCCTGAGACGCAAGTACTGAAAATAAATTCCTTTTCATTCCCGGTACATACCACACGTTCTCTAGTGTGACTCTCTTAGGCTTCCCATTTACCTCCACATCAAGTTCAATGGTTCCTTTTCCCAGCGCGTTGATGGACTCTCCATTGGCTGCCATCACTGACTCCTGGTTGACGGATGGCTGAAACTTCCGAAACAAGTCTTCTCTATTCGTGACATGATTAGTGGCACCGTTGTCTACATACCAACAGTCACTGTTGTTTTCAGTCATCATTACATCAACTGACAAAGTCATATTTGAACTAGGTTTACTATCCTCTGTTACTTTGGAAGTGGGTGGTTTAGGCGGCCTCCCATCTGCTTTCCATTTTGTACACTGCCTAACTTTGTGTCCTATCTTTTGACAATAATGACATGTGACTTTCTTATTAGTTCCCTTAGTTTCTAAACTAGCTTTGTCTTTGGTTCTAGATTCCGATTTTACCCATAAGGCTTCTTGACCATGAAAGTTACGCCCTAATGCTTTTTCGTATGCACACAGTTGAGTGGTTAGGTTTTCAATAGTCCTTTCAGACTTTGCCATCATCATCCAACTAGACTTGAACGCAAAATAGTCCTCAGGAAGCATTCCCAAGATTTTACAGATCAAAAACAAATCTGGTAAAACAAATTTGTTGTCCCCTTCTTTAGATATTTCAAGTTTCAAACTATTCCATAAGTTATTAAGCTTAGATAGGTTACCAGAAATATCAATGCTAGGATCCCGATTGAAACTGAAAAATTCTTGACATATTTCGTAGGCTTTGTCCTCAGACACCCAATCAAACAACCTATGCAGCTCTAGCTACACGTCTCTTGCATTCTTAAAACGCATTACTTTTTCTAGGGTTACACCTGATAGATTTGTGGTAATAATTATCATAGCTGTACTGTCAGCCTTCCTGAATTTATCTAAATCTGCCTCATACTTAGCTACCTCTGCTGTTGACAGATCTTGATTCTGTGTAGGTGCTTGTAGATTTCCCTCTATGACATCCATTCTCCAGACCGACTCCTCAGCAGAATACTAATCTTGAACTTCTAAGTAGCCCAATTATCTTTCCCATTTAGAAGTCCAATTTGCACTTTTGTAAACTCCATATTATTATTTAGCCTTTTCCAGTAAATATAATATGTTACAAAAAAAATAAGTACTTCACTATCAACAGTTTGTTATATTAACGAAACCAAAGCTCTGCTACCATGTTGAAATTAAAAAAAATAACTACTGTTGATACAGGAAAGAATAATTGTATTTAGACATTTTGCTATGTTCACATTAGGGATGGTCAAGTCTCGAAATTTCGGGAAATTTTAAATCTCGTACACGA